ACACTGTCCTTGCTGTTCCAGCTCCTGCCTCAGGACAGCCTCAGGAAAATGAGCCCCTGGTTACCGGAATTTACTTTAATTAAAAGCCTGACCTCCAGTGAGCCACCTTGCAATCTTGCGTACCTCTTGCTCTTTGAAGGAAGCCTTGTTTTCTCTTGCTTATGACTGAACATCTCTAAGCACAGTCTGGGAAGGACAGGGCTTTGGTCCCCAGACAGAGCTGTCTGCCGACCAAATGACCCTGCCCACAAAGCCGCACTCCCCTCTAACTGACAGACAAGCTAAACATTCTGTTGGCATGAAAATGGGAAGAGATTCATGACCTTGAAATGCCTCTGCCACCGGGGCAGAGTCATGCTCCTGTGTTTTAGAAAATGACCTCATCTTTTGCCCAGGCCACCGGCCTGAGGTTGCCGAGGATTCTAGGATCACTTTTAAAGCCAGGGATGGCTGTGTGCAAGAGCACTGAAACTTGCTGGTTCTTTGTGGGCCCACACTCAGCCTCAGAGCACAGGGAAATGTCAGGAGGTGGCTTTTCACCCTAATGGCCGTGACTTCCTGTCTTTCCGGAAATCCTGATGTCACTTATCCCAGATGGACCTGGGACGCCCACCCTCAACACATTAAATGGGTTGAATGAAATGACTTCTTTGCTTTGAAGCTGGGATCCCATGTACTCTCCCCTCAGACTGGTCATGGGAGTATAGTTTGTAAAACGACTTTGGGGAGCTGGAGGGGTTGGAGTGAAAAGTTAGGGGCTTGCAACAAAGGACTTTTTCTGTATCCTAGATAAAGATAAAAGTGTTTTCTGATTTATGGACAGAGGTGGGGACCACCGTAGCCATCTGTGACCTACCTTTGTACCCATGTTTCAGGTTATCGTAAGCTACGAATATCCTGACGTGAGTTTACAGGTGCCTGGTATGTGGTCGCTTGATGTGACAGCAGCTGTCAGGGAAATCCTGTTCCCTGGCCTCATTGTCTCCCTTTGACCAGAGAACTCCAGCAACAGACATGGAAAAAGCTTGGAACTTTGGAGAAGCTGGGGACCCAGGAAAGGAGAAAGGGAAGCAAGCCCTGAGGAGCCTACCCCTAGGGGCAGGTTGCCAGGCAGGGCCGGTCCCCACCTGCCCACCACAAGGCCTCCATGAGCTACGCTGCCTTCGTTAGGTGACACATTCCTTCCTCCCCCCTCCCACTCTCTCTTCCAGAGATTCATCTGCACTTTCATTGGAAAATATGACTCAGTCTCTCTGAGTGCGAAGTTATGAGCCATTTGCAAATTCTTGTGAATTAGGCCCCGCAGCTTGCTTTCTTGCAGTGTCTGGGTGAGCTCAGCCGCACTGAGGGAAAGGAGCATACCTTGCCCAGGTCTCGAGCTTACTTTTCAGGGAAATTGGGCTTGTGACAATGGGGTGGGGGAGGGATACTGGGAGGTGGGAGAAAGTTGTCTAGTGCAGCTGTGTGTATTGTGCCCGCAAGACTGGCTCCTGGCCCAGGAGAGGGAGGGGAGGGAAAAGCCTCCAGGTTTTTTGATTTCCACCCTTCCCTTCCCCGCAGAGGGTAACACCAGTTCAGCCGACCCCAGGGTCCAAGTCTCGGTGCATGTTTAGTCCCATCTCCTTCCCATGCCCTCTTCATCTGCTGCCTTCACAGAAAGGGTTCATCTCCGGGGCAGTGAGGCTGGGATGTGGGAAGTTCTTAAAGAAGGGCTGGGCTGCATTCTTTGGTTACTTCTCCACCAAAAACCTGAAAATTAAGAGTCCCCGCTCTTGAATATCTGTATCACTTTAGACATGGAATACCCATCTCTGTGATGTTTTTAGAATCAGCAACATAAATCCCACACCCCCAATATCACTGTCATCAGGTTATTAAGCTAGCCAAAGGTAATACTTGGTTCAAGCATTTAAATCTATAATGCCTTCACCCATGAGTCAGCTATGGGTAAGAGAGATGGAGCGTTTTCCACGCGGTAGAATTTAAGTAGTACTTGAGTAATTCTGCAAGAATCCACCTGCTGGTCTGAGAAATAAGGGAGGAGGAATCCAGTTCAGCAGACCTCCGTGCAGCTGCAGACCCTCCCTAGGAGAACATCCCTTGCAGCAGCGAGATTTCTGCTTCTGTCTAGGACTCCATGTGGCCTGAACCTTGCAGGAGAACATAGACTGAAGTTTTCCTTTGGTTGAGTAGATTTAGTAGACAGATTTCCCAAGTGTTCTCTTGGAAATGTCCTGGGATCATTTCTCAGTGCTCGGGACTCTCCTGTGAATTTCAGGTGTGGTTATGAGTCTTGAGGTGCGCAGGACCGCTTATCTGCAAATGGTTGCAGACTTCTGCCGGTTTGCTTCTGTTTCTGCCCCTTCAGAGTCTGTCTCTGCTGTCACTGCTCCTTTTCAGCCCTGTGTGGAAGGGAGGAGCCCATAGCCACAGTTACAGTCTTGTACAATTGATCTTTTCTCCATTTTAGGGACTCCTGGCTATCTTGGTCTGTTCAAGCTGCTATTTTAAATGTCATAGATTAGGTGACTTACAGAAAAAATTTACTTCTTAGATCTAGAAGCTGGGATGCCTAGGTCAAGGTGCTAGCAGAGTTGGTACCTGGTGACAAGCTGCTTGCTGGGCCATGGACCACTGTCCTTTGACATGGCCAGGGGGCGGGGAGGGGAAGGAAACTCACTGGGGTCCCTTTCATAAGAATACTAATCCTATTCATGATGGCTCTACCCTTATAACTCAATCCCCTCTGAAAGACTCACCTCCTAATACTATCACCATGGAAGTTAGGATTTCAAACTGAATTGGCGGGGGGACATGACCTTCTGATCATAGCATTAACTGGATTAGTTTTCTTTTGCTGCATAAAAATTTACAATTTTTGGGACTGGGGATTTAGCTCAGTGGCACAGCACCTGCCTGGCAAGTGCAAGGTCTTGTGTTGGATTCCTGGTACCGGAAAAAGAAAAAAAAAGAATACATGAAAAATTTACAGTTGTTTAAACACAGTTCTATAGGTCAGAAATCTGGCACAGTAAGGCTAGCGTCTTTGCTCTGGCTAAAACCAAGTTGTTGGCCACCTCCATTGTCATGTGGACCTTGGGGTCTGTTATGGTTTGTGTCTAGATGTCTCCCCAAAGCCTCATACAATCATGGCTTCTAGAGTTTTTGATTGATTCATAGCCCTATGCTGGGACTATGGGTGTGAGTGCTACACCTACCCTGGGGCGGGCAGCCTGCATATAATATAAGGGAGAAAAGGAGGCTAGCTCTTGCTCCTCCCTTTTGCTCTTGTTGATTTTGCTATCTTCTGCTGCCATGAACTGTTTCCCTCTGCCATGTGCCACTCTGGCTTGGAGCCAGCCAAGTATGGACTGAAACCTCCACAAACTGTGAGCTAAATAAACCTTTCCTTCCTTAATTTTGGGTGTCAGGTATTTTGTCCCAGCAACAAGGGAAAAGTAACTAAAGCAGGATCTTCTCTAAGCTCATTCCTGTAATGCGCTGATTTCAGTTCCTTGTAGGACTGAAACCTTCTCAGCTCCTGTTGGCTCTCCTGGCTCCTTATCCCACCATACCCTGCTCTCTCTCAGCAGCGGAGGACCTCCTTCTCTTCACATCTCACTAAGGCTTCCCATCTCCCTGACTTCCTTTTCTGCCATCACCTGGGGAAGATTCTGCTTTTAAAGAGTCCATGTGATTGAGTCAGGCCCAAAGGATAGTCTCAGTCTCCCAAAGTCAGTCGTGTTCTGCAACACAACCTCGGCACAGGAATTCCTTTCACCATACTCACAATTTCCACCCATAAACAAAGCACGTGGAATTACACAAGGGTGAGAGGCATTGGCGTCATCACAGAATTAAACTGTTGGCCAGACTGGCTTTTTGCAGGGAGCTCCATTCAGTTTCCTAACAAAGCTGGCCGCAGGCTTCATCTCAGTCCTGCTCAAGCTTGGAAAACCCTAGCACTAAGAAAAATGACAATTTTTCTAATAGGTTCGTGGCGCATTCAGCGTCTGCTGCTATTCTGCTCTAGCTTGGATAAGTGTCCATGTGTTAAAGGCTTGATTTGGGGCCATGGGTTACTGGGAGGAAGTAGGAGCTCTAGGAGGCGACTGATGGGAGGAAGCCCGCCTGGGGCCATGGCCCTGAATGCTGGTATTGCGATCCTGACCCTGGCCTGCCTGTCTCTCTCTTTTGCTACTTGTCTGCCATGAAGTGAGTGGCTTTGCTCCCCAAACACTCCCCTCAAGAAGTGCTGCTTCACCATAGGTCCAAGGACAGTGGGACCAATCGATCACACCCTGAATCCTACAAAACCCTGAGTCAAAATAAACATTTCCTGTTTAAGAATCGATTCGTTTCTGGTATTTGTTACACCTGCAGAGAGCTGACTAACATGAATTGCTCTGGCTTTTTCTTCCCTCTTCATACCTAAGCTTCTCCTTTCTTACTTTCGTGATTGCCATGTACTTAAAAAGATTTTCATCAGATCTTCGCCAGCATGTTTACAGGTTTACATTGTTTGGGGTTCTTTCCTCAGCAGCATGTCAAGCATATTTTCCAGATTTTTCATGTTATAGAAATAGGTAACAAGGTTACAGTCAGAGTCCATTCAAGTAAGTGGGCCAAGGAGTCCTAATGTCATGAGTAGAGACCAGAGTTATGCGCTGAATAACTGATCAGTCATCATGAAAACTTACCAATGTGATCATGTCTGGGGGACAATTTCTCCTTTTACGTTAGCTTTGCTTTCTGTGTCGCCAGGAAGCTAAAATGTGTGAAAATTAAGGAAAACAAATTGTTAGATCCTTCTGAGACCTAAATCTTTTCTGATAAAATAGGCAGATTAGCAGGCAAAGGACAGTCTCCTTAGCTGGTTTCCCTGGTCCAAATAGCTATTATTTTCAAATAATTCACTGCCACTAGAAGCATAGTTACTTCATTTCCATTTCAAATCTGTGACCAGTTTTCAAAATTGTTGCTGTGATGCTTTTCCTCAGATGTGGCTGAGAAGTATTTTCAAGAGAGCATGGCTCATCTTAAGGATTCAGAAGGGGCAGGAACAGCCAAATTTCTTGCAATTCAAGACGAATTTTGCCATTTTCTACAAATCACTGGACAAAAAGAGGTAAGTAAATTCAGAATACAATTGTATATTTATTCACATGGGTGATAGTTGATATTCAAAAGGTCATTCTTTTACTCTGTAAGCATCTGTTAAACACCTACTATATGCAGGGCATGTCCTCCCCTCTGAAGGGATTCTGGTAAATAAGGCTGGGGGCCACTCTTGGGCTTGCTCCTAGAAACTGGAAAACTGTTTATGAGAATAGAGATGATGTGTCTACCTACAAACAATCCTGAAGAACAAGCAACCTGGAGACACTAGTGGACAAAACCCTGCTTAGCACAGCCTGCCGCTCTGGCTGGGGTAGAGTGTGACAGTATACCTAATTCCTCTCCCCTCATTCTGGGTAATGAATGAATTTGCATATTTAATAGAAACTGCACAGTGCAGAAATTTCAGCTCACTCTCTTGCCATTGATCCATACAGGCTTTACATGGCTTATAAAAAAGAAGCGAGACCCAGAATTTATATTCATTGATAATTAAACCCATGGGAACTTATTTCCTGCAAAGCCCAACAGCTTCCAGAAAGCCATTGAATAGCTCACTTGGGTCCCCCCCCCCCAAGCCCTTTATGGCAAATCTTGGGAATGAAATTTATTTCCCCTTTGTTGTCTGTAGACCTCCACCCGCCCAGCTCTTTCCTCACCCTTAATCTCCCCGGGCCTTTCTCAGTTAAAAAACATGGGTGTTTAATGCGGATGCATCCATACCTCTCAGGCCGAAGAACGGCTACCATCACCAGGACAAATGGAGTTTCAGTACATTTCTAGATCACACAACCAAGGAGAGAGAGTCCTTCTGGGAACCTCTCATTTCCACCCCCACCCTCACCCCCACCTCTGGAAGCCCTGTGGGGAGTGCTCAGAAGAACGCGGGGGTGTCTTCACTCTTGTTCCTCACCCCATGCAGTTCCTTGGTCGTTTCCAGGCATAGCGTGAATCCATCCATCATTTTCCATCTCCCCTCCCCCTAGGCATCATCTTTTGCCTGGACCGCTCTAGCGGTGTCCTATCTCCCAGCTGCCTGCTCCTTGTTTTTCAAAAAGCAAATCTGATCAGTGAGCATTCATTTGTAAAACACCCCGTGGCTCCTCAATGCCCCTGAGTTAAATCAGAATCCCTATATGGCCCCAAACACCTTCCCCATCTGGATTCTACTGATATTTCTCATACATTTTGCCACCTCTACTGGATCCACGTTCCTGGCCTTTACTAATTCCCACTTCCGGCCAGGGTCCACTCACTTCCTCCTGGCAAGGCCTTCCCCACGCCATCCAGGCCGATGCCGAGCCATCCTTCAGAACTTACCAGTTTCCTTGCTTCCTCTTCCTGGACTCCCCCCACGAGTCTTCCTTATAGAGCCCTGCTTGATGCAGGAAAATTTTTGTAAATGCATATGTGTGTGGATGTTTAAAGACTCCTGTGTGACTACACAGAATTCCGTGAGAGCTGGACGGTCTTGCTGCAGTTGGGGGTGATGAGCGGTTGGCTGATATGTGTTTGGCTTCAGGCCAGCCTGTTCCTCTGACCACCCCAGGCCACGTGCCCCTCCCTGTTCTCACTTGCATTTCTGCTGGGGTGCCTGCTTCTGAGGTGTCCTGTGTCACTGATGCGTTCTGCGCTACCCTTACCCAAGTCACCCATGTCAGTGGTGTTGATCAAAAGATGCGCCTTGCTCTCCCAGGCTGCCCTTGGCCATTTTTGCAAATGGGCTGTTTTCATTCAAAGGCCACTGCCAGTCCACCCAGTAGCCTACAAGAATAGAAGTCCTGCCCCTTCGTCAGGTGGACACGGCCCGAGCTAGAGCACACCATTTGGAGAGGGTGGCACAGGCTGGGCTCAGCCTCTTCCTTCTCTTGCCGAGCACCGAGCACCATGTGTGTAGCACAACCTGCCCAGCCCACGCAGCAGCCTGGTGCCACGTGCACACGTGGCCACCCAACCTTTCACTGTGGGTTACTGTGAGAGTCGGGCAGTCACAGAGATGAGCAAGGGGTCCTTGGACCACCCCAGGCCTGACTGCACCCTACACATGGGCACAAAGCTGCCAGCAACAGGAAGAGGATCTTTGGGGAAGAAATTCCTGTCAGGAAATACTGTTTTCTGACCAACTCATATTTTTTATTTAAAGTTGATTTAAATAGGTTGGATTGGTTTCCTAAACTATTTTCCATGAGAATAGAGAACTTCGGAGTGTGCTGTGGGTGTTCTGTTGGGTTTTCATGTATGTAAGAGTATCAGGGTGCACAGAGGGAGAGGAGCATGGACCTCATAAGTATCGAAAATGCTGGCCAGAGGCAGCCCTCCCCGTGTCACCCATTACTCCTGAGCTGCCCAATGCTGAGCAAATTTCTTGACTGCTGATCTGTGCCTCAGTTTCCTCCTCTGTCAAATGGGGATTAAAATTCTACTCACCTAAAAAAGGCAGTGAGAATTAAACACGATCACCCCAAAACTGTAGAGCACAGTTCCTAGTACATAAGGACACAGTACATGCTAGCTGTTATTCTTAACATCCAACTGAAATGATTCAGATACTAGCAGAAGCAGGGTTTTTCTGTTTTGCTTGGTTTGGTTTGGCTTGGTTGGTCCGTATGGTACGGGGGCCTTCGCATTGAGCTGCACCCTCATCCTTTTTATTTTTTATTTTGGGACAGGGCCTTGCAGAGTCACTAAGTTGCCCAGGCTGGGCTCAAATTTTCAATCCTCGAGTCTCAGCCTCCCAGAATGCTGGGTATGTGCCACCATGCCCAGCTCAGAAGCTGGTTTTCTCACTAAAGTCCTTCAAGCATTCTCTTTTCATACTTTACACCTTCTCCCCGCAAATATGTTATTTCCTGTCCACTGCTGAACCAGAGGGAAGCAGCCCCCACTGCAAAGAACCACCAAGCCCATTCCTCCAGTAAGTGAAAATGGATGGCACTTACTTAATTGTCCTAAGAGGCACAAGACTTTGATCAGCCTTTGCACTTCTTTCTTTTTCAGTTTTTTGAGACAGGGTCTCACTGTGTAGTTCAGGCTGGCCTTGATCTCACTAAGTGGTCCAGGCTGGCCTTGAACTCACAGTGATCTTCCTGCTTCATCCTCCCCAGTGCTGGTATGACAGGCATGTGCCACCACACCAACTGGACTTTTTAACCAGAGAGCTTTTTATCTCTTTCACAGAGAGCAACCTTGATCCTGAAGGAGTCCCTGGAAGCCAAAGTGGAAACATTTGGCTATTTTAGTCCTCAGGTGGCAGAGACTTACAGGCTCCTGGGAGGGGCAGACCTGGCGCAGGGGAACCAGAGCGAGGCCCACAAGAACCTGAAGAAGGTAAAGCGGGAGCCAGTGCTGGCCCAAGATGAGGCTGTCCCTGCTTTTAAATGAAGTGTTATAAATGGCTTATTTAGGGGTGATGTCATTATTTGCCATAGGTCTAAACTAACATGTTTGGGATAAAAGATTTCCTCTTAGATACATACTTTTTTTAAAAAAAATTATCTATTATTTTTGACCATGCAAAATTTTAAAATTTTTGTATGGCATAATTATCAAGCCTTCATTTTTATTATGCTCCTTCAATATTAAATTGATAGACAAATTCTCTCTTTTGTTTTTCTTTTTTCATATTTGGAGTTTATTTGTGTAGCTACCATGAGACACAGATCTAATGTTATCTTTTTTTCCAAATAGATCTCTCCATTGTCTAGCACCATTTCATTAACAATCGCACTTATGTACCAGTGATTTAAATTTTTATATGTGTTTGACTATCTTTCTGGAATTCTGTTCTGTTCTATTAAATTCTGTCTATTCGTTTGCCAGTATCTCACATTTTTAGTGACAGAGGTTTGGTAGAATGATTTAATGTGAGGGAGGACTAGACAATCCTCCCTCATGGCTCTTTTTTTCCTAACCTATCAAGGTTTCCAGATACTTTCATATTTATTTTTCTACATGTTCTTTATATCAAATTGTCTCACTCCATAAAGAATTTGCTGGTATTTTTATTAAATTGTTTATAAATACATTTTGGGAGATCTGGCATCTTTCTAATGTTGAGTTATTCTATCCAAGAACAAGAGATACCTTTCTATTCATTCATGTCTACTTTTATATATTTTAGGCTTTTAAAAGTGTTCCTCCTGTAGGTTTTGCACATGTCTTATTAAGTTTATATCTAAGCATTTTTATTATTATTACTATAAGTGGGTATTTATTCTCTGTTACATCTTTTGACTTTTGTTTATATAGAAACTATTGATTTCTTTATGCTAATTTCATATTCTGCTAGCTTGCTTAATTCTTTTATTGCCTTAGTTAATTTGAGGATTGATTCACTCAGATTTTCAAGGAATACTATTATATCATTTATGAATAGAAATAATTTTACCTTATGTTTTCTAGTTCTATCCCTCTAATTGATTTTTCTTGTCTAGTTGCATTGGCTCATACCTCTTCTGCAATAGTGAATAGTAGTAGGGACAATGGTCATCCTTAGTCTCATCTTAGTGGATATGCCTCTTGTGAGTTCTTTTAGTATATACTGCCTTTAAAACTAAAGCTTATATATTTTATCATGGTAAGGAAGTATCCATCAATTTCTAGTTTTATGAGTTTTTAAATTAGAAATAAATGTTGAATTTTATCAAAGGCTTTTTCAGCATCAATGGAGACTACCAGATGATTCTTAATATATTTTATTATAATATTAAACCAACCTTGCATTGCTGGACTAAATATCCCTTAGTCTTATTAAATTATTTTCCTGGCATGGTGATGTCTAAGTCCATCTTGTGCTGTTACCACAGAACACCAGAAAAATGTATAAAGGATAAAGAATAGAAAATTATTTCTCACAATTCTGGAGGCTGGGAAGTCCAAGATCAGGGAGTTGGCACGTGGTGAGGGCCTTTGGTATGTGATTCTATGGCAAAAGGCAGAGGGGAAGAGAGGGAGAGAGAAAGAGGGCCTGTACTCAACCTTTTGTAATGAACCTTCTTGCATATGCTGAGCCCATTAATCTATTTGTGAAGGCAGAGCCTCTTCCCCTCCTTAGGCCCCATGTCTTCCACACTGTTGCACTGGGTATTAAGTTTCCAATGCAAGCTTTTTAGGGGACACATTGAAACTACAGTAGACATTGATTTTGTTTGCTGATATTTGTATGTCATGCTTGTTTAGGTACCAATGTTGTATTTGCTTCAGAAAGGTAATTTGGAAGTTTACCTTTATTTCTCATGCACCAAAGGAATTTATGTAGCATTGAAACCACCTGGTGTTTAAAGGTTTATACCTCCTGTGAAATTCGTTAGGCCTGGCACTTTTGTTGTGGGAAATTCCTTTAAAGTTTTCTGTAGTCTATAAAGTGTGATCTTTTAAAGTTATCTCTAATTAAGTCATTTTGGTAAGCTGTACTTTTCTAGGTAATTATCCATTTCATTTACACTTTCAGATTTATTTGCATAACAAGTTGCAAAGTAGTCTCAAGAATTTTTTAAATTTTTATAAATATTTTCCCATTTTATATTAGGGTTTTCTTCTTCTTCCCCTGACTGAGTTAGTGGCTTGTCTATGTTGTTATTTTTTTTTCTTTTTTTTTCTGATTTTTCTCCGGTACCGGGAACCGAACTCACGACCTTGCGCTTGCCAGGCAGGCGCTTTGCCGCTGAGCTAAATCCCCAGCCCCGTTATTTTTTTTTTCTAGAAACCATAAAAACCTATTGTCCTCCTAGTCTCTATTTCACCAACTTATGAGTTTATGTTTATTATTCTTTGTTCCTTATTTTGTTTTGCTTTTTTTTTTTTGGTACCAGGAATCGAACTCATGACCTTATGCTTGCTAAGCAGGCTCTTGTGCCACTGAGCTATATCCCCAGCCCTGTCTTGTTTTTGTTTAAGTTTTTTTTCTATCTTTTGAATTGGGAATTTAATTTTTTTTTGTTTTTATTTATCTTTTTATGGCTATGAATTTCCTCTTGTTATTTCTTTTAATGTGTCAAGTTTTGGCATGCTATGTTCCATTATATTAATTAATTTTAAGATGAGGAAACCCTTGGTAATTTCTGAGTAACATAACTGCCCAAATCTAAAAAATTAACTTTAGTTCTGAGGAGCTGGGGATTTAGCTCAGCAGCATAGCACCTGCCTGGCAAGCACAAGGTCGTGAGTTTGATTCCTGGTACCGGAAGAAAAACAAAAAGCAAAAACAAAACAAAAAGAATTAGCTTTAGTTCTGAGTGGGTTAGCCTAGAAATTAAGTTTTGTTTTGTTTTGTTTTGTTTTCAATACTAAGGATCCAGCCTAGGGTTGCTCTACCACTGAGTTACACCCTGGCCCTTTTATTTTTTATTTTGTTTTAAGACAGGGTCTTGATAAGTTGCCCAGGTGGGACTTGAACTTGTGATCCTCTGCCTCAGCCTTCCTCAGTGCTGCAATTACAGGCACGTGTTGCTGTGCCTTTTCTTTTCTCCAAGCCTTTTCTTGTGACTTTTCTAATTGTGCTGCAAAAGGTGCCAATTTTCGTAACATTTGTGTTACTAATATCTAACAAGGTGACACATTATCAATTCATCCAAAAATAGTTATTGGAAACCTTCTATGGCCGAATCTCTGAGCCATCCAGACCTGGGGGTAAAACTAGAGACCAGGGCAATTATGCTCCTTTGTCTTTGTAAATCCCCAGTCCCCCTAAGAGGACTTAAAACAATGAAATCCAGTCATTTAGTCATTACACAGGCACCAGACTCATGGCGGTGAGGGAAGGAGGGAGGCAGGAAGCTGGGGGTGGTAGTTTTTGTCTCTCCCCGTCCCCACGTCTACATGGTAACAGTGAACGCCTGGGGAGTAACTGGCGTTGGGTCGAGAGACTTGCAGATGTTCACTTATTCAAGCCCTACAGAGTTTACATTAACTCAGAGTCTGCTACTTCTATTCCCAAGAGGAAAATCGAGGCTGACAGGTAAGTGTCTTGGTCTTGATCTCATGGAGAGTCGTTGGAGTGGACCTATGGCACCAGGCACTGCGCTGTCTGCGCTATACTCTTGTCTATTTCATCTCGTGAGTTTCCAAGCTAGTGGCACTGTGGGAAGAATGCGGAGGTTCATACAGAAGGAGCCTTTGGGCCGCCCCTGACAGAACACGACTGAAGCTGGCTCAGGCTTGAAGGGGCATCCACAGCCTTGCGGTTTCCAGAGAAGGGCGGCATCTGGCCCAGCAGGCAGGGATGTAGTTTAGCCTCCCCGAGGAGCTGCGGGGGCAGGAGGTAGAGCCAGGAGGGCTTTCTCCGCCCAGGACTCCACCACACCACTCTGCACCTCCTCTTGCTCCACAGCAGTGTCCTCCCCAGTGCTGGAGACCATGGCTGCCATCGCCCTTGGCTTCCACCCTGACCCCTGCACCTTTTCTTTATCTCAGCCTGGAGGACTCAGGGGAGGACTGCTAGGGCAGCTGGAATCCAGTGCCCATCCCTGGGTCAGTCAGCGAGGCCGAGAGAGTAAACGCTGTGAGAACAGGGTGCTTCTATGTGGAGAAGCCCAGGGCAGGCTCACTTTACTTTGGAGCATGTACGATGAATACAGTACGAAGGAGGTAGCCCCTTTCCCCAAGAGTATCCCAGACTAGTAAGTGGACAGTACACGTCTTGGCCTTACCGAGGCTAGTGAGTGGGAGGAGTTACAAACTGAAAGCTCCCAAGTGTATCGTATGCGAAGTTCCACACGACAAGTCCATACTGGGGTGTATGGGAAGGAAGCTTTTAGACTGGAAGAGCCAAGAATTCCAGAATTTGGAAAAGGGAAGGAAGAAGGGAGTTCCGGAACAAGACAGCAAAGTATGTTTAAGGAACCAAGAGCAGCTGGGGATTTAGCTCAGCGGCACAGCGCCTGCCTGGCAAGCGCAAGGTTGTGAGTTCGATTCCCGGTCCCGGGGGAAAAAAAAAGAAAAGGAACGAAGAGCAGTTGCAGCTGATTGTCTGCCGGGGGACAGGGAGTGGGACGATTCCCTGAGGTTGACACAGATAGGCACAGAAACCTGAGCAGGTCCTCAAAAAGAGCTTCACACTCTCCCTGCTGGCTCTTAAGGAGGCTGACCTGGATCTCACACCCCAACACAGGCTCAAGGCCAGGCTTGCCACTGCCAGGGATGGCTCATACGTTATCCTCCATCGGCAGCCCTGCAGATCAGACCTTCACAGCCCTGTCCTACAGAGAGGAACCTGAGGATCCCGAATACTGAGTCACTTACCTCTGGGCAGGTCACCCTTAAGTAAAGCTCAGCTCTTTCCTTGGTACCACTGATTGGCCAAGTGGCCTTAAAGCTTCTGAAGCAAGGTCACCTAATGAATTAGTCTCAGGGGCAGGAGCCCTGGGACCTGCATGTTTGTCAGTTTCCTGAAAAAGCTGAGAACAGCTGCTCTGGCCTGCCCCGCCACCCGCAGGGTTGAAAATCAGCTCAGCTTCAAGAAACTCTCTGGTTAGATCACCCCTAAAAACCACAATAGAAGTCGGTGACCTTTTTTCCCTTGAGTTTGGCCTGATTACACATCAGACCCGAAAACAATGACTCGTGACATCTTAAGGATGGGTGGCCCTTGTTCTGAATCAGAGAGAAAGACTGAATTTGTGTGTGTGAAGCTTGTGCGTGCTATGGTATATGAGGTCCTCATTTCTGCTCCCCAGGGTACCCATCTGAGGGCAGGGCTCCGTGAACACCACGGCACAGACCGACTTTAAACACTCCTTTTGCATCTGCTGCTGGTTGGAGTTTCTCAAATGCTGTAATTAGCCCTGGGGTCTGTGAAGCCAGCAGCTTCCTAAAGCAACTGGCTGTGTGTTTCTCTTGTTTTCATCGCAATAGCTGCATCCCCTTAGTCTTCAACTCAGTAGCAGGAATCCACTGGGTGTTGGCTTTTCCAGATGCACCCTGCTGTTCTGAACAGTCCAGACGTGGGCCTCTCCGCCTGAAAAACAGGAAGGCCGGAGATACAAAGCAGACAGCAGGATTCAATTACCGAAAAGGAAATAGTATTATTGATCTGCCTTTCAAAGGCATCTGCCTGCAGGGAGAACTGGAGAACTCTGTTGGCTCCAGATGGAAATTTCCCAGCGCAAGTTCCCATCATTTTGCCGTGTGGAAAGCTGGTTTGATGCTAGGATGGGTGTCTTTGCTAATGTTTTCATTTAGGTGAAAGGCTCCAGGGAGAATTTCTGAGGATTCTTCCCCAGGTCAGTAACATCCCAGGACACACAGGGCCCCAGGGCAGTGTGAAGTCAGATTTGGATCCAGCTTCAATCTGGCCTCCAAATTAGAAACTGTCGTTGGCAGGCTTCAGCCTGTTGGCTCAGTGGGCCGCAGCTGTAAGCACTGAACATTTCGAAAAACAGTAACGTCACTTTACATGACCCCTGTCTCCAAAAAACTCAAAGCCCGCTATAATGCATCTTTAAAAGAGAGGAGCTGGAACATGGTTTTTACTCATAGGTTGTGAGCAAGAAAGTCAGTGCCACCAAGTTCTTCTGTGGGCCTAGATCACGGCTGCAGAACAAGCCATCCTCCTCTTGCTGTGTGCCCGTGTTCCTGTAACTGGCTACACACTGGCTACAGTTCGTGTCCTACAATCCCTTCAGTAGCCCACTTTTGTTTTGCTTTACCTTTAACATTTTGGGTGTTGTCCTGGTTGCCCTCGGTACAACAGGAAACCCAGAAACAAATTTAGAGTCCCCAAGGAACCACCACATCAGCCTCCTCCCTTTCAGGTGTAGACCCTCGGTGGTTTCTCCATGGCCCTGACTTTTCCAGTTGTCACTGGCTGATTCACTGCTGGGCTGCAGCAATCCACTTTGTTTTTCTCTAAGAGGCAAAGGCCACGGTGGTGGGAATTCCATAAAATGTCCTGTTCTTGAGCTGAGAGATGCTGCAAGACCCAAAGCACTCGTTGCTTGAAGGTGTTTGTGAATCAGCTGATCCGAAAATGACAGCTGACCTTTAAAGGAGTCAGGGTCATTCACTCTTCGCCTCCTGTGGGGCAAGAGTGGACTCTTCCTTGCAAGCTATCAGCTGGGCACCAATGAGAATTTCGGGTCCCCTGGCATCATCAGCTGCAGGAGGGAGGAGCTCTTCTGAAGCCAGGTCCCCGACAGCCCAGGCTCAGCGCCTCCACTTGTGCTGTCCCTTAGGAAGCACAGATGGGCAGTGGACACAGACCCAGCTACTTTTGTTCCTCCAATATCAGAACTCATATTGCAGGCTTGGCACGTGTGCAGTGCCCCAGAAGTTCCTCCACTGGCATTATGGTCTGGAGAACCATGGGTCCGATAAGCCAGCCAGGCCGAAGGCTGTCTGGTGACTTGGCAGAACTTCACTGCGTGTAGGAGAACAGTGAGCTTATGGGTGAAGGACAGGTGTGGAGGGGAAAGCCAGTCCACTGAAGTGAACATTTAGTATATCCTCAAGCAAATTGAAAAAGCAGCGGTCAAATACGGCAAGTTCAGGTGGCACCAACTCTAGTAGGACAGGAGATCACTGATTTCTGCGTCATCAGAAAAATGTGCCAAGGAAAGGCTTGGCTGCAGAAGAGCCCGCACCCCCTCCTCTGGCCGGCCCTCCAACAGGCCACTCTGACCTTCACACAGCAGGCCCGCTCTCCTCTTCAGAACCAAGCCGGCCTTTGCGTTTCTGCGCACAGCAGGCTCCACGCCATAGCGAGTCCTGCTGATGTGCTTGTCTCTACACATTTGTGTTGCAGTTGTGCTGGAGAAAGATGATGGTAGCTTGCTCCAAGACAGTGGCCAGGGGATGGAGCAAAGTCGTGGGGGAGTCGAGGGATGGCAGGAAGGACATAGAGCCCACGGCACTTGGCAACCTGGAGGTGAGGAGAGAGGTCGTGGCATCCACACTCAAGGGTTGGCACTCAGGAGATATCAGGAAGCCCCTAGCAGCTGCTGTGTGGGGGGTGGCGTTTGGGCTTCCCTCCCATCCTTCATTTCCCATTTCCCTCTACAGCCAGGGGTCCTCTTCCCACTTACCTGCGTTTCTCCCACGGGAGCCTCCCGGTCCACCGCCCGCCCATCCATGCATGGACCCTCAGGTCTTGGGATTAGCGGCCCTCCGAGGAGGGGTCCAGGGATCTGTGTGTGAGAGAGACAGAGAAAGCAGGTGGAGGGTGCATTTCCTCAAACACCTGGGTTTCTCCTCCCTGGGTCTCTTCACCACCTCTGCCTCCTCCTTCCCCGGTGGTCTCCATCTCTCTGCCTCGCCACCCTACAGTTCTCAACTCTGGCATCACCTCCTTTGTCTACCACCCGCCCGTACCTCCCCTTACTCCCTCACAGCCCCATTGCTGTTCTTCATCAGGGCTATCACAAGTTGTATTGACCGTTCATTTATGCGGTGCTGGTGGCCCCATCACACTGGAAGCCTAAGAGTTAGGCACACATCACCGAGGCGGGCACAGGGTTGGCAAACCGGAGGTGCTCAGCCAGAACGGCTGCAAAAAGGAAGCCACAGTGGGTGTGGGGAAGAGGCTGTCCCTGAGGACGAGGCTGAGGGGCGCCAGTCCGCGCCTGACGCTGTCTCCACGGAAGAGCACCGTCCGCCGGATTGGATTTTGGTTGATCCTTTCCACTTCTGAAGTTCATAATTTCTGTCTACCTTCGAATGCTTAGTAAATGAAAATATATTTATATTTCCTTAAGTTTTGAAATCATTTCACACTTCCATGTATGATGGTTTCTGGAGTCTTTTCATATTAGCTTTGGGGATTGACAGGAAAACAGAAGCACAGTTGGTGAGTTTTGGGGTAATTCCTCCTCTACGGATGTAACGTAGCATCAGATGATACATGTAAGGAGAATGAGTGATTTCAGGTCCTTGGCATTAGAGTGGTTCTTACAATTTACCTTTCTCTGGCTTTCTTTTAAATTCCCAATCAAGAAAATAGAAATTGTAATGTGATATACTTGGTGAGGACCCTAACCAGGAAAAGAATAGGCCTTTCTCCATGTCTTATCTTCCAGTCATGTAGCCTTGTTATTTAAATGACTCTTCAGCTCTGGACCCTGGGGGTCCTGCCTCTATTAACAAATAGGATGAGTTCTCTCAGCACTTTCATTACCTGAAAGTCCCCAGTGGGAATGACTGTTCAATTCCAACCTGAGCTGGAGGACCAGGAGGAGGAGACACCACCCATCCACCCCAAGGAGTGGTTGCACATTTTGAGAGACCCCTCCAAAACAAATGTCTTTCCTTGTCAGTTTGATTATTTGACATGTGTATGTGACTAAGCCAGAGTGTAATTTTGTTCAGCTCACCTCCACCCCATAGCTGCCCCAAGCCATCCTCTGTCTACCCTGGGAAGTATGTAAATTCAAAAGCACAGCAATAGGACTCAGCTTCCAGGCTCCTGAGTACTTGGAGACCTGGCTTTTAAACCTCAAAGTCATATAAAAAATCATTTTCTAAAGTTTGCATCTAATGCTTCAGATTATTACTGTTTTCTTTTTCAGCACCAGAGACTGAACCCCCAGGGCCTTTGCACTGAGCCACACCACCCCTTTTAATTCGGAGACAGGATCTCCCTAGGTCACCAGGTTGCCTACACTGGGCTTCAACTTGTGACCCTCCTGCTTCAGCCAGTTTCTTTCTTAACTGCCTTAGCTTTACATATGACCCCCGAGAGAAAGCAGCAGATACTAAACAGTATACTTCCTGCTGTGGACCTTACCTGGCGTGTGGTCTTGAAGATTTCCCACATTGTGCTTACGGTGGAGCTTCCTTACCGTAGCACTCAGTAACTGATGAATCACTGAAGCCCTATGCTCCAACCGTGTCTTAAAGCTCCATATTAAAATTTCCTTGGGGTTTGTGCTTGCTCACTTATTTAAGCATGCATTCATTTAGTAACCACATCTACCTGGGTGCCAGGGACTGTGCTGGACGCTGGAACACAAAAGGGAGCAAGAGGAACACGGTGGCTCAAGGCCAGTGTAAAAGCAATGTTCCCTGCTGCCTTCCTGCAAGGAAGAGAAAAGCTCCCACTTTGTCGTTGAGGAAATAACTGAAACACAAGTGACAGATTCTCACAGCCCCTGATATGAAATCAGAGAGTAACAATGATATAGCAGGTCCCGGTCATTCATCTGGAATCTCAGATTTCCATTTATTCTCTGTAAAGAAAAGCGAAAAGCATCATATGGTGGGTGGCTTCAAAGAGAAGCTCATTCAACAGTGCAGGACATCTGTATTTCTGCGGAGAATGTTCTAAGGTCAAGGTTTGGGGGTTCTTTACTCAGCTCAGCCAGATACTGATGATGCCTGACTCCCTGTAGATTCAACTAACATTTACTCACTTTTATTCTGCTGATGTCACTGTTTACAGCAAAAGAATCGAAACGCCTACTTCCCACTAAAGTGCTTAAACACATTTACCTAAGAAGAGCAGAATACTGCAAATTTATTTTATGTTCCTTAAATAAATTACAGCTATTAAAACAGGTTCGAGGTAAAGTTTGTAATGGGCTACTTTTCTATTTACAGAAGGTTAGCCGGGTGCATGGCAGCTCACTCAGTGTACACTGCCTGGGCTTTACCCCCTTGAGGTTGTCATTTGAGTGATTTTTGTCACCTTTTAAAACTTCCTTGGGGGCTGGGGATTTGGCTCAGCGGCAAAGCGCCTGCCTGGCAAGCACAAGGTCGTGAGTTTGATTCCGGTACCAGAAGAAAAACGAAAAATGAAAAACAAAAAAAAACTGCCTTAAAGGCAGCTCTCACAGTGTCACCTGTCACGGAGCAAGGAGCCTGTTGAGAATCTAACTGTAGAAGATGAAGTCTCCCAAGGTGATATCACCCCTGTTGGAAGTGGCCCATAGGCACGGCTTGGACTATTAGTATCTCACTGGGGCGTCAGGTCGGTGAACTCACCCTTGTTGCTATCAGCATGGGCAGACTGAGGAAGAAACAATGGATCTTCAGCATTTCTGTCTTTTCTTTAGTACAATTCCAAGATTGTCTCTGGAAAAGGTTCATTTTAGCTTTATAAAGCTGTTTTCAGAGCTTTTTGAAAAAGTAACAGATTTTACTAAACCAATGTCAATAAATACAAAATCTTACATACCATCATAACATTAGAACATGTAGTTTAAAAGGTTATTAAAACGACATTTCATTATAATTAGACAGTAGGCTAGGTGCTCCAGGGAACACCCGCAGTCTTGGGAGGCTGAAGTAGAGGATTACAAGTTTAAGGCCAGCCTGGGCTATACAGAGAGGGTTAGGCCAGCCTGGACAGCAGAGTGAGGCCCTGTTCCAAAAAAAAAAAAAAAAAATGGGCCAGGGATGTAGCTCAGCGGCATAAGTGCTTGCCTGGCAAGCCTGAGGTCATGAGTTTGATTCCTGGTACCAAAAAATAAAAAAAAAATAAAAAATTTTCTAAAATGGGAGCAAAGTTTGAAAAGTATGAAGAAAATGTCAGTTTGCTCTGTTATTGAGCTTGTTTCCTTTTCAGATACATACATTTGTTTTTCACTTAACATTTCAAAAATGCTTTTCAAAGAAAATTAATTAAAAATAAAAAGACATCTGTGGAAGCGTGGTTCCGTTCATGGATGGACCAGGTTCTTTAGCCTTGGAGCCTGCCCTGGCCTCTATGGGTGCTGTCATGGTAAGTGGGATTAGGCAGGGGCCGAGGATCTGGCCCTCTCTTGTTCTCACATCAGCTGCGAGTTTAGGCAAATCTCCTTAGTGGGAATAAGTAGACTTTCTACTTAGTCTTGTAGGGCCTGGAGGTAGGAGGAGGTGCCACTCACATCTCTAGGGCTTGATTATTGAAAAGGGTCGCTTTACTCCCAACCCCAATCCCTTCTGACTTCATTCTCTACCAACATAACGTCACCAGTGAAAATGATCAGCACACAAGGCCTAGAAGGAGTGGGGGTGGCTCGTAGAGCCATCAAGAGTTTGTATGAGTCCCACCAGTGACCTCCTCATTCTTCCTGGGAATTGGAAACTACTCAGTGAGCAGTATCTCTTCTCTAGAGAAGAGGAGACCAGGAAGAAGATGCTTCAAATCACAGAAGAGGTAGGATGGAAATTCCTCCCATGTTTTAGATCTTAGAGGCCATCTGTTAAGGCAGAGTGAACTGAGACCCCAGATTGTCTCAAGTAATCAGGCTTGTCTGTAAAATTCTAAAGCCACAGTGAATGAATTAACACTACGGCACGCCGACATCAGCTCGTCTCATAATGAACCACATCAGAGGCACTCATTAATATGTAAACAGGGAAGTTGGAGTGGGTTTAAAATCAGACCTGATCTCTTACATGCAGTGAGGGTATTTCTGGTGTAGGTGGAGATAGCAGAGTCCGGCAGCAGGAGGGGTGAGCGCTGAGAGCCCTCCTCTCCCTGACTATGGGTGAGCAGGGGAGGTGGGCTGGCCTCGGGGCTCACTGTCCCCTCCTCATGCCTCTTTGCTGCTCCACTGTGTGCAGGAAGCTCTGCCTCATGGAGGGGGAAGCCAGCTGCTGTCAGAAACGTGTCCCTCCCCTCCCCTCAGGGCAGCAGAGCTTCCTCCAGGTTCCTGAAGACCCAAGGTCACAAGAGCCTATCTGTAGATGAAAGTGACACTGGCTGAGACCCATGGAATGTGCTAGCTCATTGCCTGGGCCAGGCCAGGCCACCCGCACGGATTTAGAAAGTCAGAAGCTTATTGGACAGAGGGGCTGGGATCCTGGTCTTGGCAGAACTTGAATTGCGTACTGAAAAAAAATAATCGGAAGAGGTTACTACTTCCTGGTGCTGTACCATTCAGCTAAGAAATAGTGAATATTTTCTGTTATTTAAAAAATTCATCATATTGTCTGATATTTTCTTTCTTCAAAAGATAACCACACTGTTAGATTCCAGAACCACATTCTCAATTCCTTAGACTTAAACAAGCATTCAGACAGTTTGGATATGTTCCGCAGCTCACAAAGACAGAACATTTTGGTTGCTTGCATTTTAATTTTCTTGAAGACCTAAAATTGGTTGGCAGATCAGAATGAATACAGTCTTTAGTATTATGTTCCCAAACTGTCACACTTTTTTTTTTTAATTCAAGCTGTTACCCATGTAGAAAACTTAATTCAATATTTTAAAAATATATTAAATATTGCACATATGTGGGAAAGTTTGAATAACAAAGACCTTTGAACTCACTATTAACATAAAAAACATGACCTACACAGGTGAAGTCTCCGGTATACCTACCCATCCATCCCTCATAACTGTCTGGACTTTGATGTCATTCCCATGCTTTTTACAACTTTTCCTAGGGTTTTGTTTTGAATATTTTAAAACCTCATAGTATATGCATTTACTTGAAACTTTCTTTTTCCTCTTGATGTTATAATCATGAGGTTGATCTGTGTGGATAGGCATATGATTATCAAACATTTCATATTATGCATATTGTACATACGATACCATGCACATGAATATCATTATAATTATCCTTATCCACTACTAAATACTGTTCTACAAAGAGGTTATTTTAACACCATTACAACATATCATTTCTGCCTTGGACAAAGCTTGATATCATCAGGGTATAATTTTTGTAGTCCGAAGTGGCACTTAAGTTTTTGTCTGCGTTTCTGTTATTAGCAAGACTAATTTATTATTGGCCAGTTTTTAACGTTACTTTGACTAATTTGTTTGTATCTTCTGACCATTTTTCTTTTGGGAGGTTGCTATTGTTGTTTCTTTACCTTTTAAGAGTTTTCTACATATTCTGAACCCTTAATTTTTCTCAACTATGTGCATTACAGATATCTTCACTCAGTCTGGATTGTCTTCATACTTTGCTTATGGTGAATTTTGGTGCAAAGATGTTTGGCATTTTCGTAGACTGTAGTTCAATTTTATCAGTATTTTACTTTTGGTTTGTCCTGATCTTATCTAAGAAATACTTCCCTGCCTAGAGATAGGGATATTCCCTAATATTTTCACCTAACAGCTCCCCAATTTTGCATTTCACAATTAACTCAGTATTTCTGGGCTTCCTTTTTGTGGTAATGTGGTAAGGTTGTTTCCTTTCATTTGCAAAACCAGTGGTCAGTACTATTCATGGACTAATCCACCTCTTTCTCACCGGTCATGAAGGCCAGTTCTGTCGTCACTCCCTGCCCAGTGATCCAGTGGCACGTCTGTCCTGTGATGAAAAACACACTGCCTCAATTGCTCTAGTTTTTTTTTTTTAATTGCTATAGTTTTACAAAAGACCTTGGCATCTACAGGAAAGCAAGTTCCTATCGTTCACTCTTCAAAACTATTTTGAAAATTTCTGGCACATCTTTAATTTTTCTTCTTTCTTTGAGTTTGTCTTGACCTCCTATAAATAATCAAATGCCAAGATCTAAGCAAAAGTAAGCCAAAGTCAGTCCTAGATAACCAACAAACTGAATATTTAATACCTAGTCACTAAGAAATCACTGTACAACAATGAACATAGAAAGCCCACTTAAAATAAAGCATTTAGTCACGAAAAATTTTGTTTTTAATTTTCTGGGCTTTAGCAGGAACCATTTAAAAATAGAACCCAGAGACCATCCTCTGCTCAGTATCAGTGTTTTTGCCTTTATTTATTGAAACTCCTTTTAAATGTATTTTTACATTGAGAGTGTGTTAGGAAATAGTGGAAAACTGTACATTTGTCTGCTGGCTTTCTCAGAAGAGCCAAGTCAAAGGACAGACTGTCCCCAAGAGAACCCCAGAAGGCTCTAATTCCTTCCCGGCCTGGGTCTAAGAATGAAGTATTCATTCTCTCATTCATTATGTCTTCTTCCATTCATTGTTCATTATTTTCCTGCAAAGTACTGTCGGCGACATTTCCATAACCTCACCATGCCTCCTTGGTGTTCGCAGTGTCTTCAGATTCAGACGCTCTTGTACGGACCACAGGACAAGAGGACCACGGCCACCCAGCAGTCGGTGGACGTCCTGTCCAAGTGAGTTGGTGTCCCCTTGTTCTTTCTCTGAGGATCACATCCCTTCCCCATCCAGAACCTCACAGGGGACTGTTTCTACCAGGTCCTGTGGAAGGTTTTGTGGAGCTCTCCTAGCTTCCATCACAGTAAGGCGAGTGCCTTTGAAAACTCTGTTGTAAAATATCTCCCCTGCCCAGACAGTAGAGAGGAATTTACTCTTGAACAATGTCGGAAGTGCAGCTTGGGTTTCAGCCTCCTGCAGGTGATGGCCCCATGCCGAGAGAGGCAGGGTGTGGCCCACTACAGCTGCACCTAGGCTTCCCCCAGCTCTCGAAGGCTGGTCCATATCCTCTCTCCTCACCAGGAAAGGCTACCTCACAGAGCTTGTGTCCCCCCAGAGTCCTGGGGCTGAGGGCCAAGTCCACCCTCAGGGAAGTGTGGCAGGCTGAAGTGGAGCTCCAGCTCCAGCCAGCAAGGAAGATGGGCCAGGGCAGCCACCCACCCGCCGCCCCGCCACCTTGCCATTCCGCTTTGCTCTTGCCTTGCTCACACAGCTGACCAAGGGTTCACTCCCTAGCTCAGTACCGAAGTACCAAGGAATCAAGACAGGAGGAAAACATTTGCATTTGATGCCCTTGTGCCGGGGTTTTCCTCTTAAGCGTACATCCCCTGCTGAGCCATCTCAGCAGAGGCTGGGGAGAAGCTGTGGAAAGGCCTGATGGGGCCACACTCACTCCCACTCTGCTTGTTTTCAGGGCACCCGAGAGCGCCGCAAAGCCATGGCAGTCTCCAAAAGCCAAAGTGGCCTTCTGCTCCAGTGCCCCTCAGCGCACTGCCCCCGGGAAGGCTAGGCCCAACCTGGCAGACTGAAACTGCCACCCATGCCCCAAAGAAAGCTTTGGGCAGGCTGGGGTGCTGCTGTACAAACCCCTCTCCAACCGGAAGGTGGAATTTAACAGTCCTTATACAGATTTTCAAGGCTGGCTGTTTGAATGTTCCACAGCAACACCATACCCAACCCCACCCCCACAGGCCACATTTTGACAGTGGATACCCTTCAAGGTGATCTTGGACTGCTCTGTGGATTTTTGTCCTTCAGCACGACTATGGCTGAAAGACTTCTCTCCAAGGTGCAACCCTCTGTGTGTAGGCAAGTAAACTGCGTGTGACTGTACAGATAGCCCCTCGCATGGGTCTGGAGTCAGATTTGCAATAGTAAGACTCTGGAAAAAGCCCTTTTCTTATAGGAAGGCAACAGCAACTGAGAATAAAGTGCCAATAAAGAGAAATTTGAAAGTACTGGCGTCAGTATGTGTTTTAAAATGAAGGCTGGGGCTCTTGAGTGTCGCTCAGTGGTAGGGTCCTTCACTCAGTGGTAGGGTCCTTCTCCAGCCCTTCTGAGGCCCTGGGTTCATTCTCAGCACTTAAAGTTAACCAAAAAAAAAAAAAAAAGGACCATCCTGGGGATCCTTTGAACCTGGAGAGGTCCACAGATACACTGTACCTTCATTCATGTGCTCAGTTGCTCATTGGAGTTTGTTGAGCACCTAGTTAGTATATACTCGACCAGTGTTAAGAACCGGGGACAGAATAATAAACAAGACACACACAGTTCCCACTGTCTCAGAGCTTGTGACCCACCATGGCACTCGATATCAAATACAGTGGCGGACCTGCTAGTGGCAGCCACAGCAACTGCAACAGAGGGAAAGAACTGAGATAACAGGGTAGGTGATGAGGGGACCTCACTTGGCCTAGGGGTCAGGGGTCAAAGGTCAAAACAAAGGTAAGCAGGATCTGAGCCCTATGTAGAGAGCTGCAGCAGGGAGGGACATTGTGCTGCTCCCTCCTGTGCCCTCGGCCCAAGACAGGACAAACAACTAATTCTAGAGGTAGCACCGTCCCTAGAGTTGAGTCTACATTGGCCTTCAGTGTCCTCAGGAGCCCCTACACACACACACACAATCACCCCAGACCCAGACCTGCAGGATGACAGGTGCCAAAAGGTGTGAGTTGTGCTTACCAAGTGCCCTACCTAAAGACATGGGTTTCAGCGTAGATGTCACTGAAGTCTGCTATGGCCTGTTTGTGCCCAAATTCATTGCTGAACGCAAATCTCCAACATGATGGTATTTGGAGGCAGGGTCTTTAGGATGTAATCCGCTCATAAGGGTGCAGCCCTGGTGTCTTTGTAAGATGTGACATATGAAAGGGGATCTTTCTTTTTACCACACAAGGACACAACTACAAGATGGCTATCTACAAGCCAGGAAGCAAAGCCTCACCATAAAGTGAATCTGCAGGTCCTTCATCCCGGACTTCCCAGCATACAGAACTAGAAGAAGTAACTGTATGTTGCTTAAATCTCCCGGGGCATGGCATTCTGTCATAGAAGCACATCTGAAGAAATGCTATTTTCATCTGTTACTTCTTCTTTTCTGTATTTCTTGGAGTAAGGGTATCTTGGATTCACAGAAACTGAATACATTTGAAAATGTATTCACCAGAAAGAGTGAATTAGGAATGTCTCACCAAATGTTTCCCATGGGTTAAATTTAACTTCTACAAGAGAGGAAGCGTACAGCTTTGTGTTTTACATTTTGTTGGTAAACATGTGTCTGCTGATTACAAACAGGTAAATATTTCAAGTTATCATTTGTTTTAAGATTCCATAATTTTTTTTCAGATTCCTAAGAAATAGTGATAATTAACCTTCAGGTTGTATTTAAGGTGACAAACTGTTCTGGCATTTCCCAGGACACTCTTAGTTGTAGTGCTAAAAATCCTACGTCTTTGGGGATCCGTTCACCTTGGGTAAAATGGAATGGTCAGTCACATCCTGCTGGCCCAGGCTGTGGTGACACTCGTGTCGTCTATAGTGACTACAAGCCAGTTGGTTTTATGCTGTGTCTGCCATGCTTTTTAGTTCTGCACTGATGATTTGAGCTCTGATTCAAGGAAGGAGTAAGCGAACTGCAACTTCCACGTACATTTTTCCCGCTAGTTCCGTCCTATCATAAAAACTTGCACAAAGACGCCTATTTGCTTTAATTAGAGTTTAAAAGAAACCACACCAAAATTGACTGGAAACATTCATTCTTTAGGAACAACGTGGATTTTTTTTTCCCTCAGATTTTTATTTCTATACATTCTTGTGACATTTCCCTTCGAGGGAACAGAAGGTTAGCAAAACCAGCTTCTTAGATGATTCCATTCTACATAGACATCTTAACCTTGTCAAAACACAGTGGGAAGTTCAGAAACATTCAATGAATCATTTTCTTGAAGTAATCATAAACAGGAAAACAGTCGCTGCATTCCCACCCTGTCCAACCACAGCGCTGCTTTCTCTTGCCTCCAGAGTGGCTGCTTTCACAGAGGAGGAGCCTGGGGTGACCTGCCACAACGGTGAAGGCGGGCCTTGCTCCTGGGTGACCCAGGGACTTAGTAACTGGTGACGACGGCTCATCAACCCTCAGAGGTGAATACTCTAGGCAGAATGTTTCCTTGAAGATGTGCATTCCGACATAGAGATGAAAATTACGATCAAAGATGTTTATCTTCCAGAATAAGTGGAAGTGGGTTGTGATAATAATAACCTGCTCACATCAGCACCCATTCGCAAGTTCTTGGGCTAGGATGTTGACATCAGCTAGGCCCATTTATACTCAGGGTCTTACCAAATAGAAGCTGTCCCCTTGGCCAAATCCTAATCTATCACTTAGACAAATACTATTGCCTATCACCACGAAAACAAATCACATCTTTGACCATGTGAGAAATAAGAAGCCTTGGCAAAGTCGTCACCAGTCTACCTGTCTGACAATCACTAGTTTATCTGGTGGATGGATAACAAAGGTTTAACTTTGCAATTCATGTCAACTTCCTTCCTAGACCCTGATCTACAGTGTTTTTAAAAACACATCATCTTGAAAGCTGTACTGCATTTCTCTTCCTTTTCTTTTCTTTTTTTTTTTTTTTTTTTGGCTTTTTGAGACAAGGTCTTGCTATGTGGTTCAAGGCTGGCCTTGAGCTCACTTTGTAGCCCAGGCTGGTCTCAAACTCACAAAGATCCTCCTGCCTCAGCCTCCTGAGGGCTGGGATTACAGGCATGCGCCACCACGCCCGGCTTCTCTTCCATTTATCAACTAAGAGAACTCATTCTCCCTGACCTCTCTGTAGTAGCTATTCCTGGGCCCAAGGACACTGTCAGAGGGTGAGGGAAGACCCTCCCACACCGTTCCCTGCCACCACCAGAACCTATCTGAAGGTGGCATCATCTCGGATCCTTCTTCCTCAGTACACTACAGTCGGGTCTATGGTGCTGTGATAGGAAGCAGTTTAGACAGCGTCACATGAAAGCAACTAGCCTGGACTACAAGAATGCTGTGGCTGCTACAGATGCTATTTTTATGTGTTGCCATACCTTTAAAGATGGGAACTTCAAAAGCAATACCCATGTGTAAAATAAAACAAATCCAAACAAGCTCCCCCTAATATCTTAAATTCAGTGGTGTACATCTGCAGGTCCGCACTTTGTGGCCAGTGAGAGTGGCGCTCCTGTCATCCTCCGGTGCTGGGTTGTAAGAGCTCCTTCCTGAAATCACCTTCCTCTGTCTAACACGTTATGTGCTTCCCTGGACTAAACAGCCCCACTGCCATGGTTTCTGTTGAAAGTGGAAAAGCTCCTGTGAGACTGCTGCTTGCGTATTCTTCATTCTGAGCTCGGAAGGACCTCTGATCCATGAGTGGTGGGGACAGGAGCATCTTTGGGAGGCAAAGTCCACTGCGTGTTGCTGGTTTTCCCGCCACGACCAACCTGCTGCGCTCTGAGTTCAACGTATCCTTTGTTGTCTGTAGAATCTGCTTCCTACCAGTGAAACTGAACATCCTGCGGCTAAGGGTGAAGGCGCAGAGAAGCTCAAGGATAGGGGTTCTGACAGGAGCTGGCTGCTCCCGAGCTTAGGCAATAACAAAACAGAATATTCAGACTGAGCGCTACCTCATGACCTAGTACTGCACAAAAGAAACAGCGCTGTTAGCAATTCCTGATCTTCATTCCCCTCACCCATGGGCCCAGTGCGGGAAACCTGTGCAAACACAGCAGGCATGCTGATTTGGAATCCTCTCCATAAATAAGATGTGATATTTTTTAAAGTTCTACACACAGAAAGCAATTCATTCAAGCACTGAAAGGAATTTCACTCTGTAATAAGGAATTTTTTCCTAAAGATGAAATCATTCAGTTTTTTTTTTTTTTAATAGTCTTGGAAAGACTTTGGAAAGAGAAAAATGTATTTTTCTCACAATATTAGTTTGTTATTTCGCATTAGCACATGCACACAAAATGTGTTCTTCAATATATTATTCTGATTAATGTTTAAGCATCTTGCTGCTTGGTAATTAATCATAGTTTCAAACGGATGCAAGCCATGTTTGTGACCGGGTGCAAAACTGGTAGAAATTGCCTCCACAAATGGAGAGGAAACTTCAGACAAAGGAACTTTCTAAGACTAAAAAGATACACAGTGTTTTTGTAAAACTCCCAACTCAGAAAGACAGAACTCCCAAGCCTTTAAAGGCATGAATTAACCTGAAACCTTTATAGATTCAAGTATATTAACATTGCCTGGAGTTCTCTGATGAAAGGAAAGCAGGAGGCTTTGAGATGAGCCTCCCCTACTCCACAAAATAAGGCCTTTGCATGTTGGTGGTTAGCAAACAGAATGCCACTGCAGATGAAACATCTCTGCTTATCAAAACCAATGTCCGTCACTCTCCTCCTCCTCACTGTCTAGATAGAGGAGAGCAACTTTCTTTTCATCTGAAACCACTGACCTCTGGTCTACCATTCTCTGCAGCTGCACCGTCCTATCAAACCCAGCTTGCTCCGTGCCCTCCTCTCTGGGGGCCTGCCCTCTATCCACAGCAGAGGCCTGGGAGCTCACGCCAGCTGCCCGGTCCTTCCTGCTGCCAGTGTCTCTCCAGGCGCCATGGTCAGACACACTGTGAGCTTCCGCTTCCGCCCCTGCCTCTTGTGTCCAGGTGGGAGTAGCCTTTGTGCTACTCACATCCATCTGAAAGGTAAAGGAAGTTTCTTTGGGCCCCAGGGCAAGGTGTCCTAGGGTTCTGCTGCTGTTGGCTGGCTCACCTAGCTCAGGGGGGTCCTGTGAACCAGCAAGTGCAAATGTTCTGGACATGGGTCCATGGATGACAATGTGTTCAGAGGTTTTGGTCTCTGTAGGCCCTAGCTGGATGTGCCTGAAGGATCTGCTAACCCCTGATGTCATTTCTGCCCCTGACACGTCCCCTGCATTATGCTCCTGAGGTGATTCAGAAACCACCCTTTGGAATGTGCTCTTTTCAGTCATGAGGATTTTTCTACCTGAAGTGTAACTGTGAGTGGCCTGGGTCACATCTGCTGAGCCATCACTGTACATAGGGCCTTCCGAGCTGCTGAACACCATGGATTGGGAAACTCCCTGCTCGGTGGTGGGCTCCGGCAGCTCTTTGGTGTGCTCAGAATCCCCCCTGATGGCCCCCTCTGCTTCTTCTGTGGGGGGCACTATAAACTGGATTGGTTCCCTGAACCCTTCTTTTGGGCTTAACTGGAGGTGCCTTACAGAAATCTGGGTGCCCCCTGACTCCTCAGTTGCAAAATAATCACCAGCCCGCACTGCCCCGGAAACGGGACCCTGAAAACTAATTTCCTTTTCAGCATGAAACTGCTTGGCACCAAATGTGCTGTGCCTCGCCGATCTGTCCATGTCTGTGGACAGCTCTGCCGGGCTGGGCTCTTCTGCACCCTCCGCCTCCTGCCAGGCAGGGACTGGGCCTTGGAAGATGACTTCGGTGGGCACTTGACTTTGACTGGGACCCATGGTAAGGTGCCTCTCAGACCGGCTGGCTCCTGGCATGCTGGCTGCCTGACCTTGGTCCTCACTTACCTCCAGTGTCTCTGCAGTGGGTCCTCCGTAGGAGACTTGCTCAGTCCTCCAGATTTCAGTGGGCCCCAGTTTAATGTGCCTCACAGATGGGCTCACCTCCTCCAGCACATGCGACTGCAGGAAGCCGCTTGGGCTGCTGACTTCCACCGTGGCCAACACCGGGCCCTGGGCAGTGGGCTCTTCTGGGCTGTGAGAGGCCTGGCCGGCATCATCCCTCTCACCAGCTGGGCTGTACAGTTCCGTAGTGGCCCAGCGCTTGAAGGAAATGCTACCACTGGGCACCTCCACTCCACCTTCCCTGTCCGGACTACCAGGCCCTTGGCCATGTCTCTTGGCCAGGCTGTCTCGTACCACCGACTCCACTGCTTTCTCTATTTCCTCGGCTTCGTCTCTGCTTAGCTCCTCCAGGTCTAACTGATCAGCATCCACGGTTTGGGAGAGGTTGACCTCAGCCACTAGGGTCACGGAACTGCTGTCCGTGTTCTGGAGTTTCTTTACATCAACTGAGACGCTCCCTGGCTCGTGCTGGCCCTCTCTGGTCAGGGCGGACAGTTCTTCCTTCATGCGCTCTGGGAGGGTTTCCTCCAGCTTCCCAATGACCTCTGCCAGCTGCTCTCGGGGCTCCTTGGAGAAGGTGCCCCTGATGGAGGTTTGGAATTCATGGGGTATTTTGATTTCTTTTTCAATGACTGTGGGTTCAGCATGAAATTCACCACTCGCTTCCTCCTTCCAATGGGCAGAACCCATGTCAGCCCCCAGGGAATGTGCTGGAGCACCTACGTCCTTCACGTCCTTCTCTCCTGCCTCACTGTCCCTGTTTCTCCTTCTCCAAGTCCCCTGCACAATTTCATCTTGCCAGGAGTACCTGATGGTGGACTCTTCTTCGATGTGGATCTGCCCGTAGACTGAGCCTTCATCCTCTCTGTCGTGCCCCACCGGGTACTCATCCGGGGTTGACACGAAATAACTCTGCTCTCCCTCTGAGTCACCTGCCTCCATCACTTCCTCCACATGAGTGATGTTCTCCCGGGCTGGCCTGGTCCTTTGAGGCCGATTAGCTGAGAATGTGACATGGGTTTCTCCGTCACCTTCCTCTTCCTCAACAAGCCCCCTGGAGCTGGGAGACATATCATCAGCCTCCTCCACCTGGAAGGGGGTGGAGAACTCCTCCGGCCTCCTGCCACCTACGTAGCTCATGGGCTCTTCCACAATCTCCACATTGACGACCTTTGCCTTCCCCTCTCTTCCTTTCAGACCAAGGTTGATTATGTCTCCTATCATCTGCTCTGCTGATTTCCCTTTCAGGCCCACTTCCTTGACATCCTTGCTTAAGAGGTAGTCTAGCCTGGCTTCATCAGAAACATCGATGTCTTCTGTCAGTTTAGATTCCACGACTATCTCTGTCTTTGTTGCCCTTTCACCCGGAAGCTCTTTCCTGTCCATGTAAGTGACTTTTGTATCTGGGAAAGAGTTGGCAGATGCTTCCCCCTCGGGAGACTGGGTAAACTGCTGAAGGATACTGGTAACAATGTTTTCTGCTATGGTTTCTGTCGTGGAGTCACCCCGCAGTACACTAGCTGTGTCGCTGGTGTCCAGCCTGAACCTGGTCTCTTTTGTTACTGCTTTGCTACCCTTGCTATCACTGGTATCCTTCTCTCCAGGTGTCTGTCTGTCTTTCGGGGACGTCTCGGACCTGCTGCTCTGGGATACTTCTAGCCTAACGGGTATCTCCCTTTCTTTCACACTCTCCCCCTTCTGAGATTCCTGCCCTTTGGCCTGCTCCCTCATTTTCTGGCTCTCTCTCTTCCTTGTTTCTTTATCCAACTTTGTCAATTCCTCCCATCTTAAGTTTCTTTCCTCTGAGGCTTTCTCTTTTGAGTCAAATATTTTCTCTTCCGGCTTCATTTGGATGGTTCCCGTGCTCCCTCTCTCTTGCTCCCTTGTGGCTTTCGCTTCTGTTTTCTTTTCCCAAATGACGGTCCTCTCATTTGACCGAGTGCTTGCCAAAGCATCTGCCCTGACGTTGTCCCAGCGGTCTCGGCATGCCTCTTGGGTGATGGTGGAACCTTTGGTCAAGTACGTGGGGGCATCCCTTGTACCTTCAGTTTTCGGTCTATCAGGGAATGTCCTCACGTGAGCATCGGTATTTCTTACAAGACCTCGGGTTGGAGAGAAAGTTCGGAAATTGGTTTGACTGTTGACAGCTTTCTCATAAACGTCTTCATGCTGGGTGGTGGCTGAGGTAGAAGATCCCCTGGCCAGGAACCCTCCTCTGGCAGTACTTCCAATAGATATTGTTCTCTGAGACCCAAGGTGCCCATTAGAATACATAGCTGGGATGTGATGTAAACCCACCAAAGGGGCTTTCTGCTTTGGAAATAGATTTTTTTCATTTTTCCTCTGTAATACTGAGTCAGTATATCGATAGGATGTGTTTCTGATATCTGTAGAAATTGAACAAATGGTTAAAATGACAGGTACCACTCCTTTTTGTTTTTTTAACATCATAAAAGCACCATTTTAAGTCTAAGCCCATGGCTTTAAGATAAATTCTATTACCACAGGAAGGTCCTTCTAAATAAAATATTTTCAGTCCTCCAATTAGCTTATGATAGCTTTAGAAATCCTGTCACAATATCATATAGTGCTCCACATATTTCTGCCTAGTACTTTTCTCTAGTTACTGATTTTAAAATAGTCATGCATTTTAAGGGAAATGTCAGAGGTCTGATGTTAAAGAGTAGCATATGTGCCAGAGAAGTCAGAGGTGATGGTGTTTGTGGCTGAAATTTCACAATATTATGATAGTTCAGAATCATTAATTTCTACTTTGTTGAAATAAGTTTATTTTACTTATTTCAGCAGAGAAGAGCTCTATAATTACAAAGCATATAATTACTGAACACCAAATCGCATACCTCTGCTCTGTTTAATATGCTTTTATTTTTCACTGGTTTCTATGTGAGGCCAGCAGGTACTGAAGAATTTAACTTTTTAAGGCTTCTTCTCTTCTACTTTTACATTTGATAGCTCTGTCATTTGAAAAGGTGCTGGAGCTTTCAGGTCTTCAACACTGCCATCTGCTCTAATCCCATAATCCTGGAATTGAGAGGTATTCTCAGGTGTCTGGTCACAGAGAGCTCCACTCCTCGGAGAGCCCAGGGTGCTCATGGGAAAAGCAGGAATTAGAACGGGCCGGAAGTACTATCTGCCTTGAAAGCGCCCCCTAGTGTTTACGCAGACCCCACCAGGCTGAGCCGGGCCAGGACGGCTCTCTTGCCTGGTCTCCCTCATGACACCCAGGGCCAAGGGCCTCCTTCAGATCCCAGGATACAGGAAAAAACACCAGGCTAAGACATTTTGTCCACAACGATTTCTCTTGTTAACATAGATCTTAAACTGAGATCATCTGATCTTAAACTGAGAACTTCTGGGAGTTGAACCCCCAGAATACAGTAGTGGAACCCTCTGTTTTTAAATTAAGGTTCAACAAGAAACATGGATGATCACAGACTGGCTCTAGATCTATTACCCTGTTGTCAGGAGGCCAATATTATTTTAGGCAATTTTACAAAAGACACATAAGTGCACTGAGAAGTACTGATCTAGGAACTATCAGCACTATCTAGGAACTTATCTGTGGGTTTACTAGCAAATAGTTCTGTGCAGGACATAGAACTAGTTGGAAGCTCATGCCAGGCATGGTGACACATGCCTATAGTCCTAGCACTTGGGAGGCTGAGGCAGGAAGATAGCTGTGAGTTCAATGCTAGCTTGCACTATATAATGAGACCCAGTCACAAAACCAAAGCAAACCAAACAACAAGAAAACCAACTAGTTGGAAGCTCAAAGTTGAACAGAAGAGTTCACAACTAGTAATCTTTATTCTAAAGCTTCCTTCTTTGGCATACTATGTAATTGCCACAATACATTTAGTTTACAAATATGAAGTCTCTGTTTCTTTAAAGAAGCTTGGAAAACAATGAATCAAACAAGTTAACAAAGATTCCTGTTAACCCTCTTCCTAAGGCTCCCAAGTCTAAAATTAGTAAAATATGAACAAGCTCCTGGCTTAGCATGTTGGTCCCCCATGGAGCTTGGTCCTGGGCCCTTTTATCTTTCTCTTCCTCCTAGGTTATATGATACACTTCCAGACTAATGTATCCACATGTGAAAAATTTAGGTGAACAAGGCAAACCTTGAAATCTGGTGAAGGAATCACTCTTACTGTACAGATGTCAGATGTTAACTGATGCCATGCAGGCTGGTTAATGATCATATTCATGGACACCTTTGCATTTTTCAGACTCATTTTCAAAATGAGAAAGCAAACTTGTTGGATGTTGTCAAAGACCAAATCTCCTGCAGTCATAGATGATTAGAACTAAAGTTATTATTCTGAACCTAATGATATGTCAAAAATGTGAAGTGCCTAATGAGAACAGTGGAGACTAAAGTAAAATTACTGAATTTGTGGGTTCTGTGGGTTCAACACCTGCATTTTCAACCACCAAAGATTAAAGATATTGGAGAAGAAAATGTACCTGTGTTGAATAGGTACACCCTTTTTTTCTTGTCATTATTCCCTAAACAATATAGAATAATAGCTATCGGCACAGCACTTACACTGTGTTAGGTATTAGAAGTCTAGAGATGATTTAAAGTGTACAGGAAGTTGCGTGTAGGTTCTATGCAAATACTACATCATTTTGTATTAGGGACTTAAACATCCACAGATTTTAGTATTCAAGCAGCCAGGGTGTGCACTGGAGCCAATCTCCCTGATACGGAGGGACAACTGCATAGTGAACATATTTTGTCTGTAACTTAACTCTGTCACTGCTTAGCCAGAATTTCTCTAAGATTGTAAAAGGCTTACAGGTTTTTTAAAAGTCATCCAAGAAGTTCTTAGGTCCTTCTAATGAATATCAGAGTCTCTTGTGTCAGTTGTGTGGCTCTAGGAAAGATGGCCTTGACCTGAAGCTTAGGCCTGAACTAACACAGTCCTCAGGACACCTGGACACATCTTTCTAAGCCACCTAGGGTCGTGGAAACTGTACAGTTTCCCCCACCTCTATACCAGCGGGTAGCAGCTTCAGGGTGCTGACTGCCTGTTGCCCAAGGGATAGCACTGCTACAGGTTACAATCAGAGCTATCTGCTCTAGGGGGCTGGGGATTTAGCTCAGCGGCAAAAGCGCCTGCCTGGCAAGCGCAAGGTCGTGAGTTCGGTTCCTGGTACCGGAGAAAAACAAAAAACAAAACAAAACAAAACAAAAACAGAGCTATCTGCTCTGGAAAAGAAAAGTATGTCTCTTTCAAGGGTGTGACAAACAAGTCCACATCCTCACCTCTCCCCCTACCAGTCCCATATTAGGTGGGAAGTGTCTCAAAATGTGGGTTAGGTGAGCAAATATGTTTATTAAGGACTTTCCCCACCTGTTCTCATGCACCTAACAAATAACACCCCACTACACAAAATCTTTCTGATACTTAAAAGGCAGATGAACTACTGGCACCTGAAAACCCATAGCTAAGCCCTGCCCTTCTGGATAAGCTGCGCTCTCTCTCTCTCCGTGGAATGACCAGTTCAGATGGTCAGCATTTTGAAGTTAAATAATGAGCTCCTCTTACATTTACCTTGTGGCCTGTTTTCAACTTCCTCAGTCCAGATTAATATCTCTGGATTACTTTCTCCTTCCAGTAAAGCCCTGTAAAAAGAATTTTAAAAAATTCATGAAGCAGTGAGAGAGAGCAGGGGGCTGGGGAGTAAAAGTGATCCAACAGTGATACGTATCTGCACCACTTCCCCAAGATGAATGTAACTATGGTGTCGCACAAAAGTATACCAACAAAAAAAATAAAAGAAATGGAAGAGAGAGGGGCACCTCTTGTAAAAAGCACTGGGTAGCACCTGTTGGATGTTTTAGGCCTTGCGCCCACCAAGGGGTGAGGATGCCACCTGCCAGCCTCCACAGACCCGAGCAGGCCTGTGCTGCTCTGCTCGCTGCCGTCCCTGGCACCCAGCGCTACACCTGCCACCACCTGAGAACTGCCAGCCAGTTCCGGCTGAATGAAGAGATAGTGCCAGGGCTTTGGGAGCACTGGGGCCCCAGGGCCTCTGGAAAGCCTCCCCACTCCAGGACAAGGAGCTCATGTACCAGGCAGTGCTCGGAGGGGCACAAGAGCGAACGCCAGGGCCCGGCTTCTCTGGGCAGTGGGAAGGGATCAGGACCACACTTCACGCTGGGCTCCAGGGCCCTAGAACACTTGCAAACCCCACTGCTGTCTCCGGAGTCACAGGTCTGAGGCAGCCTGCAGCGGGGCTGAGAGGGGAGCAAGGCATAACACTACTCGTGGGGGAGGCGGATGGGCTGCATCTGTGGTTCCTACGCTGGGTTCCACGGGGCCATCTTGGCGATGAGTACAGGGACGATAAGAGACGGGGGAAGGTGGAACCCCAGTCCCCCCACTGCGCATATCTCCCTCAGAGCCTCAGTCCATCCCGAGCGCTGTCTTGTTGGCTCTTTCCATAAGACGGTGAAAAGTACCCAACTAGGTGATTTCTAAACTCTGGAGTTAGTCTTACATTACTGTGCACAGCCACTGCTTCAGGCCCTGGCGTTGAGTGGGGAGTGGACTCACAGCCTCCTCAGCTGGTCACTCCAGGTATCCCTCGGGCTGCTGGCAGCTTTCGGCACAACAGTTGTTCGGTTGCTAGAGCGACGTTGTGAAGTCACTGACCCCAGTTCCCAGAAATACACTGTATATGGTAAAGGGCAAGAAGAACCATAGCCTCTCTGGAAATGCTGTAATTGTACTGCGAGCTGGGCAGGAAAACAGAACGGGCAGCCCAGATTCGGGCAGGGACTTGGCTCGTGCAAAGTGTACCAAGACTTCTTTCCATGGGTAACTGGTAATCCCCACAAACGCAAGAACCCCACGGACAGCTGGGAGAAAGCAAAGGAGGCAGGAGGAATCCCCGCGAGGGGCACACAGGTGGACTTGCCAAGGACGCGGCAGCTGAAATGCACGCATGTGCAGACAGCAGGGCCCAGCCCTGCCTCTCAGGAAGAACGCCAAGAAACAGGACACCGGCCGCTAACTCGTCCCACACCCTCATGACCAAGCAGTTTAGGTTTCAGGAACACAAACAGCCTCCATCACCGAGGAAACCCTGAGGTCTGTGCAATCAGAGGAACATTCGGGGTAAAAGCCAGACTCTGAGGGGCTATCCCCCGGGATAGCAACCGCAGAAAAGGGCCCATTCTACAGATAAGGCAGCCAGAGCAGGGCCCGGGGACGTGGCCAAACCCTGGTTCTGATCCTACTCGGGCGCCACAGGGCCTCTGATTCAGGCGGAGGCAGAACCAACAATGGCTGCGGGGTTCAGGTCAGCAAAAGATAGCAAGGCAGGTCGCCCTGCGGGAAATACGTCTTCCCCAGCCCTCGTGGGTGGATGGTTCTCTTCTTTCGGGGGAAATCTAAAGCATCACCAAGCAGCTACTGAGCCCAGGAGAGGAGCAGTGCGATGGTGCACAGGTGGGCACTGGCCCAGGAAGGGGGACGAGATGCAGCAGTAACATCGCCCTCACCGGGCAGGCCCTTCCCCGGCCCTGGCAACACTGCGCATGGGTGCAGCTCCGCCTCTCCTATCCAGGACCACGAGTGTGTGGTTCTGGCTGTCCACAGCGCAGGGCCGCTGCCCTGGGGAGGGGAGGCTGGAGTAGAGACAATATCCTGCCAAGGGCCGAGCTCACCAGGAAAGGAGTGAGCCACAAACCCAGGTGGCCCGGGCTCCTAAACCTGCCCTGCCCTACGCTAGGTCTCCCTGTGAGCTCAGAGATGGTAGCATTTTACATGACTGTCAGGAAGCACAAATCCCACAGGCGGACCCTCCACAGCATAGGCATGAAAGCAAAGTCAGCACATCTCTCTTGGTGATTTCATCCAGAACACCCCGATCAGGGGGCCCCTGTGAGAGCCCCTCATCTGTGTTCCACGACCAGGGGCCAGATCCGAGGAGGCGGGGCCTATGTCACCGTCTCCACTCCCAGCGCCCAGCACCGGGCCTGAGTGCAGAGCTGGGCACCAGGCATGGCGTTCACATATGCACCTCAGGAGCAGGCAATGTTCTAGACCCTGCTAATGTGGCCCCCAGGACTGAGTGGCAAAGGTAGAAACAAAATGCTGAGCTTTCTTCTAATGCTCTTCCTGGAGCGGTTTCAGGAACAGACGCTACAACTTTAAGAAATGCATGGAGCAGAGCTGTTCTCAGAGGCTGCCATCAAACCTGGCTATTTTGAGAGCAGTGGAGGAAAACATTGCCTCTAGGCTCTGGAGATGGTGAGAAATGCCAACCCTCTGAATCACCGGCTATTAGTGAGCATTTCACACAGCTCCACAGGTTGGCAGCCCCTCCAGCAGGAAAATAAGCAAACTGTCGGAAAACCCCAGTCCCTGGCCTCACTAAGGAACCCGACACAAATCATGAGGTGGAAGCAAGCTGTAATGTGGCCTCTGGCCGGGCTCCAGGCCCTAATGGGTCACCCGCGTCCTAACTGGCCCGGTGGCAGACTGGCTGGCTGACACAGTCGATCCTAATGGAATTTCAGGGCATGTCTGCTGTTGTTCAGCACTGTAGCTACAAGGCCGCCACACAGCGCAGCCCCCATAAGGGAGGATGGGGGCGGGGAGGGAGGGTCAGGCGGAGGAAGTCTGCAGCGCAGCTGTGTGGAGCTGCTGAGGGCCTGGGGCCTGGGGCCTCAGGGGTGCTGCCCTGGTGTCTCTCTACATGCAAGTGTGGAGCTGGGGGAGAAGGAGGAGGAGGCTGGGGACCCTCAAAGCCAGGAGAAGGAGCCCCCTCAGTGCTCCCTCACTGGGCCTAGGGGAAGGAGAGCTCCATAGAGGGACAGCGGCTGCCCCGTCACCCCAGACTTGGGCCACTGCCGGTGAGTGACTGGGGAGACCGTGGAACTGAAGGGAGAGGCCAGGTCTGTATCTAAGAGGGAGAAGGGTCGCTGGCTTCATGTGAAGGGAAACAAGGAGCTGGCCGTGCTGGGCCCTTTCCTGTTGTACCCCTGTGGCTGCTATGAAATCCCATCCTGAAAGCACTCTCTAGGTCAGTACTAGAGACTGGAAGAGACTGGAAGCCCAGGGTGTGGAAACAGAGACGGCTCTGGAGGTAGGTTGCCCGGAATCAAATCCTGGGCCTACAACTTTTTAGCTCCAGATGCCTGGGCAGGCTGCTCACACCCGCCGTGACTCAGTTTCCCCATTTGTGAGGTGGGGAGGACACAGAGGTTTGTGGTGGTAATCAGGTAAATAAGTGGAAAGTTCCCAGAACAGTAGCTCCTGCAGAGTAAGTATTCAGTAAACGCTAGTTATCGGTCATCATCGTGTCCTCCAGCCGCAGAGGAAGTTCGTCACAGGAGGTACAGGGGGAAGGGGCTCAGGATCATTTAAATTTATAGATAATTGAGTATTAATTCATTTGTATGGCTGGCAACCAAATATACTGGTTGGTCGTCTCAATCACGTATTCTTAAAACTCCCAAGACTTTATTCATTCTAAATATTTCACCTAGTAACCAAGTAAGGCTCAGTGTGGCTGCTTTTGTACAAGTCTTAAAAAGCAGGATTTAACTTGGAAAAAAAAAATGAAATGTACTTCCCAGGTCCTCAAGAAACCTCTAACTATTTTCCTTTCTGACACATGAAAAGTTCTAAAAAATAATGGAGAAATATCATTAAAAGTAATGAAGAAATATTAAAATGATGAACTCAGGAGCATTAGGAGTTATCTGTGGCTTTGTTTGCAGTCCAAGGGGGCTAGAGACCGAACGACGCCGTGTTCTTGTGTGTTCAGTTTACAATGCTCTCTCTGCTGGGTGGGATCTGAGATCGGAAAGAGGAAACCTCCCGTGACAGGGCCGCCCCCGCCCCCCACCGACATACAAAGCATATTTTTTTGACACTCTTGTTTTTAACTTCACTTTTTAAAAGGACCTTTGTCTTGAGGACCTGAAGCGGTTCATCTCTGCACTACATTTTCATAGCTGGCTAGGCAAGAATTCTTTCAGGATTTTTCTTTTAGGACACTATGCCTTCCTTTTTTTTTTTTTAAGGTGAAATGTAGAATAATCATTACATCCTTCACCTCCCAACACACAAAATAAAACATCTTCTTTTTGAATTCTGTCCAAGGCTGCATTATCTACCAACCTGGCCAGAAATCTGGGCGGGGCCAGTGATACAGTTTTCTTATCCTTCAGTTCTGTAAGTTTCACACTGTTTATTCCTGAGCTCACTGTTGCCTTGGTTTTTAAATTTGAACGCTTCTCATTATATCTTCTAACACTTATTGCTGATGATAGCTTTGTACTCTGGTGCTTGGGTGGGGCGCTATTTATTTTGTAACTGTGCTTCTATCAGTTCTCAGTCCACGGCGGCTGACCCAGACCCTCCTGGCAGCCCTGAAGGCTCAGGACACGGTAGGCTCTGCCTTCGCTGCGTCTGCCATCTTCACATCATCGCCTGATTCCCACGCAGCAGAGTCTGCTCTGGGTGGTCCAGACCGCAGCAGCGAGCGATGAGCTACACACTTCTCACTCCATCCTGCCCAGAAACCTCCCGGTCCCTCGGGCTCCCCACCGACCCCCTTGCCAGCCAGCTCGGCCCAGCCCAGCATGGCCACTTCCAGGTCCCCATC